ACACACACACACACACACACACACACACACACACACACACACACACACACACACACACACACACACTAGCCGTCTCCATTGACTTACATTGATTTCCTAGAGACACATTTTAACCTTATAACCCTGACCCTTTCTTATATGCAGATATAATACCTATGTACGTTATATTTTACTGAACCGAGTTTTTGTGTGTCCTGTTATTATAGAAATTCCTCTGACTTGAGCCCTGAGAAATTGAATAACAATTAAATAACAGGCTGTAACTCCTGCTGCCCCACCTGAGTCTGGGATCCTTATAAAACCTTATTCTATTGCTAGTTCCCCTCGTAGCACTCATGAAGGGTGCAGCATTTTAACTTAAACCTAACTTTAATCTTAACCTAAACCTAATCTTAAGACATGTCTTCACTTTACAATTTAATTTTAATTTAATGTTTAAGTTATGGGGACTTGCTCTTTGTCCCCAGTGGGGAGACACATCCCCATTATGTGAATGTACACAGATTTAGGTCCCCACAACATGAGGAATACCTGGTCAACACACACACCACATGTCCGAGGTGGAGAAGGGCATGCAACTTTAAAGTGACACTGATTAGAAGTGCCCAATGCCTCTAAATATATACATCTGCTTTAGAGAAACACATGTTCACTGTGAGATCCCTGCAGTAATCTACACAAGTAATCCTAAACTTTCAAAATCTCTCATCAAGTGCATATTTCCTGCTGACCACAGCATATATTTCTATCAATTGTCCGCTTTTAATTCACAAGTCATCACTGAGTTGGAACAATACACAAAGCCTCATTACAAAAAGTCCCAGCAGGCATGGAGGAAGGCCAGAGAGTACAATCATTAACAGAGCAATGTCCATAAAAGAGGAGGGAGGGAGGCAGACAGGCAACAGGAATACAACAGTGAGTCTGGCCCAATCTTTTTCAAGCAGCAACACGGTGCATTCATCTGCACAGTATGAGGGTGTGAGGAGCGCAACCCTGAGCCAAGTGGAGTGATATTGAGAAAGGCACACTTTCATGTGGAAAGAGGCATCAGCTGAAAATACTGTGTATGAGGACACCACATCTTATCTAAATCTAAAATCGCAAAAACAAACATGTGCGTCTAATCACTCACACACACACACACACACAGAAGCTGTCTTTATGGACCCCGGTATGGTCCCCACCCATCTGCCTGACCCCATTAGGGCTCGCAGAGGCAGAAGGGGGAAGCAAGCGGGTTCATTATTCTCTTAACCACATGGGGTAAGGCACCATCACCTTTGTCTCACAGATACAAGTTCATGTGGCATGCACAGCAGTGTCACATGTCATTTCTGGCCAATTGATCTGCTATTCACTGAAGAAAAAGTCTTACCAGCGTAAAGGTCACTCCCCCAAAGTCCAACGATTTGACTTGTTTTAAAGTCCAAAAGCGGTTAAAAGAAAATGAGAGATGCCTAATGGTAAGACAGAAAAGCGAATAGCACAGTCGATAATGGCATTTTTTCCTCTTTAGACTTTGCTCCAAGAGCGAGACAACGCCAGCACGCAAGAGCTTTCACACATGCTGCTGTTAAACATTTACTGAGACAGATAACACAGGGAAGAAACAGGGAGAATCCGACTTCTGGGTGTAGTTAGTCTGTTTTCTTACGCTTTAGTTTCAGGTGGAGTGAGGAAGTCAGGAAAGAGCGGAGAGCGAGGGAGACAAACAAAGACTATGTGAAGCCACTTGCGTCGCCTCCAGTTGCTTAGAAACCCCTGCCCTGCCCTGCTCCTACTGCAAGGAGCAGGTGTCGAGCTGGACCCAGGAGAGGGAGGAGAGACAGTGGAGAGGGGAGGAGAAGAGGAGCAGCACTCACAGACCCACAGTCCCTTGAGACAACAACAGACTGGAGCCACAGACTCTGAGACGACCCACTCACAGAGCAAACACACCCAAAACACTGACTTTCTCTTTCCCCCACTGTCACTCTTCCCCCCCATTTGTTCAAGAGCACAGGCAAACACACACACACACCGATGGAGCAGAGCTTTACTCCAGCTGAGTGCATGGGGGTTATGTTTGTTTGGAACATCTTTATCCCTCTCTGGCTCCATCACTCACTGATTACATAACGTCCCATACCACTTCCACCCAATTCATCTCCCTTTGACTTTCAATACTGCATCTGGGTACGCGTCACACACACACCCTGTGCTGCCTTCCCCCTCCCCACCGTATCTTATGTAAAATAACATGTGCCACTCTGAAAATGCTTTAAATGTGAATTTTGAGAGCATGTGTTGGAGACATGGTTGCAGGGGTTTTATTTGTGCTCAGAATCTGAGCTCTCAGAAGCACTAACGGGATAGATGGTAACAGGGCATCAATATTCATAGTGCACCATTATGTTATGAAGAATTCATGAACCTGGAATGTTCCATGTTTCTGCCCCACCCTCTTCTTTAGCCTGAATTCTCTCACACCTTAGAGACTTTAAATTAAACAACACGATGGAAAAGATTCAGGTTATGTTTTGTTGATGTTCCGTGCATCAACCTAATACAGAGAACAAGATAAACAACTTTCCCATATAAATTTTAAAATATTTTTTGCACCTACCATAAAACTACCATAATATTTGCATCCACAGATGATGCAAAGTAATGTTACTGATTAGGAAATAATTTTTAAATGAATATTCACACATCTCATCTGAGATTTAAAAAGGACTCTGTTCCGAGCCACGGGCCTCACAGCACAATGAACAAATTGCAGCAGACAGTTCAGTCCACCTAAGTGCATGTTGTATTATGTTTCAGCTGACATGACTGAAAATGCTCAAGTTGTCTTAGATAACACTGCCTCCTGGTGGAGAGATGGTGACTCAATGAACTAGTTACAATCGTTCTGCTGATCTGACTAAAACATTTCTGGGATGGGACTTTAAAACTATCTTTCTATTTCTATCTTATTCTATAGCACGTCAATATAATTATTATTCTGAAATATCCCGTATATCGACACATTTTCAAATATACAGTCTAATCTGGATATAAATATGATTCTCTTTTTAAATAAATATTTAAAAGTCCACTGTGAAAAAATATATATATATCCTTGATCAAACATTCATTATTCGTCTCAAGAGACGGAATCCCCGCCAATACTACTCTACGTTAACACAGAGCTGTGATGCATGCTGGGAACATGTGTTCATGAGAGATAAAGATGTGTTTGCGCCAAGATGCCAGAGGGTGAGCCATTTCTGCTACCCCTCCCAAAATAGTCTGATGTGGACAGCAGGTCAGAAAAAATTTTCACCATAAACTCTGCTACAGTTTCTCACTGGGATCCTTTACCAATGTTTTGTCCAACTCTCTTTAAGACAGAATATCAGAAATATGTTATGCATTTGTGATTATAAACGAATTATAAAATAATGTACAACACTTATTTTCTTACTATAGGAAGAAATAGTCATGGTGGAGAAATAGCCCTCTCAGTAGCACACTCTTTTCACTCTATTTAGTGAAGGACTAGACATATTTTAAACAGGCATCTGTAGTTTACACATGCAATACAGATGATACGGATGGAATCTGAAGTCAAATCCCATCACTTAAAATCAATCAATGATGTAGTTAGTCTCTTTCCCAAACATAAATGATATGTTTCTCTGCAACTGAGCAGTGTTATGTCATTAAAATGGCACGGTTTGAGCAGGAGCATTGTGACCACAGAGCTTAAACGGTATCTGATACTCACATCATGTCCATGTAGAAGGCCATTGTTCAAAGCACGGTCAGTCCCAGTGTGAGCAGGTCGGAGGCAGAGAGACACACAGAGAGAAAGAGTCAGAGCAGTAACACATTTATTCATGTGACAGGACAGAGTTAAATCAAATAGGTGACAACACACGGAATTCAGGTGAACATTTAGTTTGCATTTTGTATAACTCGAGGCTCTGATCTTACCAATTGTTTTAATCATTTTCTAATACTTTATTCTATTTTTTACTTTTTTCTCTCATGTAACATTCTTAATCTAATAGTTGTGATCTTATGTTGTCTAAAGCTGTTTGAGCTTCTAATTGCTTCAATTCATTGTCACTTGTTAAGCACCTTGTAACTGTGTTTTGAAAGGTGTTTTATATATATCTATATATATTAGGTTAACTATTATTATTATAACTTATATTCAACTGCATGAAACAGCTACTAATGTCTCACATAGCTGAAGGGTCTGATTCTGAAGATGAAAGGTTTTATAACAGTAAAGGAAATAGTTCCAGCATCGTCTTGACAACAGAACAAACTGAGGGGAAAACAAAGTAACAAGGTTAAAGTTAATCACCAAAATAATTATATCCCCACATGTTTTATTTCAGATTCCTACTTCTGTTCTACTTCTATTGTCTGCATAAAAAACAGAACTGTACAGAGTCAGGGCGATAAAACAATACCACAAACATATGACAGTAAAATGTGCAATATTTCACAAAATAATCTGCACCATCAGTTTCATTAATTGCAATGTAAAAAAGGCCCAATATATATCTTAATAACACTCGTGCATATTGTAAACACGATGAGGACAACACATCATTTATCTACCCAATGTTTTACTGTCTCAAGATTTTAAAACCACAATTTTAAACTTTAAAAAAATACAAATTAGACATTTATCGTTTAAATTATCGATATCAACTGATTTATTGTCATGTCTCATATCGTCCAGCCCAACCGGTACACTCACATTATTCCTATGAGGCTTTTTAAATGTTGTCTCACATGATAAGACCTGTTGGGTACGGTCTATTATCTGGTTCATGAAAGTGTTTTGGGGAGCAGGCTCTCCAGAGCTGATGAAACCTGACAACAACATATTTTAAAAACACTACATCATGTTCGGAGTCCAGTGTGTTGCTCATATGTAGGCTAGCAGCACAAATAGCCCCTGACCTCGTCGCGTTTGACATAATCCCTCTAAATACAGCACCACGGTGAACTCTGCACGAACCGCAGACAAAAACACGTCGCTGGAAGAAGAAGAAGGAAATCAAATGTGTGGGATGTAGAGATGGCAGCGGCTGTGTGAGGGAGACCTACCTGTGTTCACTGCTTCACCTGAGCGCCGTGGTTCCGGTGTTTCCTCCAAACAGGAACCTGCAGACGCTCGGTCAGAGTTTCCTCACGGAGGCGGTGACGCAGCAGCAATGACGAAGGAGCAGGGGGAGGAGAGCTAAGTACAGTCTAAGTACAGTCTATGCGAAGTATATGTGCAGTATATGTCAAGTCTGTGGAGGAGATCAGAGGTGGAGGCTGCAACTTTCCACTGTCACAGATTACACTTCTTAGCAAGATGCATCCTTACAGTCATTGGATTTGTTACTTACACACATCTTAGTGTTGTGTCTACCTGCCCTGAATCACGTCTCACACCCTGAAGGCCTCTGCAGGAAAGCTTTAGATGACATGTGTTCTGTTTCACGAGTCTGTGGTCGCCATCCTGATAAGGTGATAACCTCAAGAGCAGGGGTGTGCACAGACATTTTGAGGGGCCACTGCGAGTCTAGAGCCGTTTTCAGACATGAACAGTAAAGAAAAAGAGGGACCGTATTACACCTGGGTTGCGCTCCCTCCACTGGCTTCCTGTTTGTTATAGGATCGATTTTAACATTTTGTTGTTAACTTTTAAATTTGTAAAACTAGTCCCATAACCAGAGGCAGCCGAGCCTTTGCAGTAGAGGCCCCAAACCCACAAACTGTTTACCACTCCATATTAAATGTGCCCCCTCTCTCACACACTTCAAATCATTGTTAAAGACACATCTCTTTTTTTTTATCCCAGCACATTCTATATTATTTTATTATCATTAGTATTTTGATATATTATGTATATGTATTGTCTGAAACTCTACCAGAGGCGCGGGAGTTTGAGGGTTCTGCTCAGTATTTTAGCTGTTCCCATATATAGGACTGTGCTTTTCTGGAAAGAGGCTTCATAAACCTGTAATCTGCTGGAGCCACTCTCCCAGTTTGGGGGTTACAGCCTCTAATGCTTCTACTACCACAGGGATCACATTGCATTTCACCTTCCACATTTGTTCTAGCTGTCTTTAGACATGCATGGATTAATTATACATATAATTTCGACTGCAGTACAGTGGTTGTTGGTAAGTAATCTGCAGAACATTATGTAGACTAAATGCACCTGAGGAAAAGTGAAGAGAATAGTTCTCTTTTTTTAAATAAAAAAAAGTCAGCTCATTACAGAAGGGGTTTCACGGTCAGGACATTAAAATGATGTGCGCTCAAAGATGAAGCTTTACATCGACTTCAGGCTTTTCTCTCGGTTTCACAGTGCTTCCCTGACAAATAAGTCTGATATCAGCTCAATTCTTTCAGCACGCCCCTCACACCACTTGTTTTCAAACTGCACTGGGTACTCCACAAGGGGGAGCTGCTGTGTGTGTGTGTGTGTGTGTGTGTGTGTGTGTGTGTGTGTGTGTGTGTGTGTGTGTGTGTGTGTGTGTGTGTGTGTGTGTGTGTGTG